TAGTGTTAACCCTTCACCAACCATATATAATGTTATATGTTATCCATACAGTGTGTCTACTTTGGGATCCAGGATAATTTGGGATCTTTTTTATTTTTATCAACAACACAAAAGTGTTATTCCCCCCCCCCCCCCCCCCCCCATGTCATTGGGTCCTCGTGATATCGACAACAGACACCTGGACATGAAATGGACGCAGCAAACCTATTTGGAGTGTCTTCGTCTGATCATGATTGTATGGCGTCGTGTGACCTGCAAGGTCAAGGTCATCACCGACGTCGTTCAATTATATTCACAGACAACATAAACGTTATATTCTAGTCTGACCCATAACGCTTATCACATAGGCGCACGCAGACAGAGTTACACTTCCTAAACTGTGAGTGATTTTGTTTGTTTGTTTTTTAACGCCGCACTCAGCAACATTCCAGCTATATGACGGCGGTATGTAAATAATCGAGTCTAGACAAGACAATCCAGTGATTGATAACAAAAGCATCGATCCCTCGCAATTGGGATTGATGACATGCATCAACCAAGCCAGCGAGCCTGACCAGCATGGGTTGCTGAAGATCTATTCTAACCCGGTTCTCCACGGGTGGAACTACGAGTGCAGTATCACACCTCTATAGTCTTGGCCACAAACTGATATATATTTCACGTCATTGAGGACTCCCACATATCAACACTCTAACAGAGCTAAACATTATTATTTCTTTCCTGTTTATTTATGAGGAATGAGTTGTTGAACGTCTCCTGGACATTCTATATATATGATTAATCTAACAATGAAATTATTGTGATTTGATTGAGACAGCATAATTTACTTTTTAAACCCAAATCACACAGATTGTGAAAAATGATTAATTTGTCGTCAAGATCATTGTTTCGAGGAGTCTTTATTATCAGTAAATTTACGTCATACATCAATAGCCCTCAATCTCACGACGGGTCATAGAGTTATCTCCCCTACACTCATGAATGAATACAAACATACACCAAATGCTCCCAAACTGTATCAAAAATCCGTGCAGACCCAAGACATTGCTCGGAATATGCAGAACTGACCTCTGACCTCTGATATCCGGGTAACCCTGGGTAAATAGGCGAGGGTGAACGCAACAGTTACTCTGGGAGAACCGACGCGAGCGGGTCCTGTTTACACAGGGTCAGCTCTGTATATACCAATTCACTTCTGCCCCGACCACTGTGCCTGAAATAATACCCAGCAGTAGCGGAGCAGCTTAGGTGAACCCCAGGGTGGTTGTATTTATGTTTTACAGCATGAGTGATAGCCAACCAAAAACAATGTTTTGTCATTTCTAAAGATAAACAGTGAACAGTAAAACACATATTTTCGCAAATCACATCTCGACTATATGAATATGAATATGAATATGAATATGAATATGAATATGAATAATCTCGACTGATAATGATAACCGTCCCCTATGATTCAATTATATAAGGCTTGGTTGGATGCCCAGTCGTCCTATATATATGACCCAGTGAAGTAACGCTTGGTTGGTTGGCCAGTCGTCCTATATGATCCAGTGATGTAACACTTGGTTGGTAAGCCGTCCTATATGACTCAGTGATGTAACGCTTGGTCGGTTGGCCAGTCGTCCTATATGACTCAGTGATGTAACGCTTGGTCGGTTGGCCAGTCGTCCTATATGACTCAGTGATGTAACGCTTGGTCGGTTGGCCAGTCGTCCTATATGACTCAGTCATGTAACGCTTGGTGTGTTGTATGGAATCAGACAGTGGTGTCGGTCGGATGTATATAATTATTTTCTATCCTATCCGTTATAACAGGATGTTATAAACGGATATAGTAGAGACAGGAAAACGGTTCGATAAAAAATATAGGAATGAAATTATTGAAAAGGAATCGTCTTACTGCAGGAAGTATTGTGACAAAACTAATGTAGACGATGATAACAATTTTATTCTAAATATCCATAACAATTAGCTGTTATTGTCCCGTACTCGCGCACTTGACAGATGTTGACCTGGTCGGGGAGGGGGTCAGGATAGGTCAGCGGCGAGGGTAAGGGGGTGGGCGCACAAGCACCTGTTGGACAAGGCTATCACTCAGCGAAGGGGCGGTGCTATAACCGTTCTTTGTTATCATCACACTGTCGCCTTACTCATGTTCAGGGCTGAACTCTCTTGCCGACAGATCTCGCATGAGGGTATTCACATAGATGACCACTCGTCTGTTCTTCATCCCGCATGGAGCTGGATTAACACAAGGGCCCTAAACCCGAATTTACCAATTTACCATGTCCGGATGTATGTTTGGGTACGATGTGTGCTATTACATTCTCGTAGCATCCGCATCACAGCGAGTAGAATTATAAGGTGTCCTTGATCAGGGCTCGAGATCTGCATAAGTTGGCTCCAGCTGCGGATCACTAGTTTATGTCGTCTGTCCTTTGAGTTGGACAGCGACGGTTTGAGTACTGACTAACTATAGCCTTGAATGTGAGGACGACAGATGCGATGGGACATTGAGAGTCATCTTATTGTAATTCTAGACAAGCTACTTAAAAATGGCTGAAAATGTATGGCTTCAGACAGAGCACATTATTCTTGTCCACTGGTGTTTAGTACATGCATTTCCAAGAACATTTCATTTCAGAACAACTTGATCGGCAAATATGCCATTCTGTATAGCATACCGTTATTGGAACAGTGCTATTTACGAATTATGTGCTTTTGCCGAAAAGAATGTTTAAAAAGTATTCCAAATGGTTCATTACCGTGTCATTTTTGTTTTGTGAATACAAGACATTTTGTATGGGAAATCAACTTCTTTTATTCTTTGTCACGGCGTTTCAGAATTACATTTTCGCTCCTTCATCTGATGAGGTGAGGCGAATTGGGGTTTAACGTCGCGTCCAAGATTATCCCACTTATATAGCGACATGCATGCACGTGTGTGTGTGTGCTTGTATACTAATCCGGACTGATGCCGATTTATAGTGCTAGCCCACTGAGATACCATACCGCATTTGAACATGAATACCCCACTCGGACACAGTATACTGACTCCGAGCCGACCAGTCCTTGTTTTAGCCCCTTAATGGCCGAGCAGGGTAACAACTACCAACTTTTAACGTATTCTGAAATGTCGTGACAAAGAATAACATAAGTTGCTATCCATAAGAAGTGTGATGTATTCATGTTCTTCCAACTTTAAAATGCCTATCAAAGACTAAATTTTGTTTTAGCAGAGACCATATACTATCCATTATATGGTCTCTGGTTTTAGTTAATGAATGTTGAGAAAATAAATTGCATTGTTTACTGTTTATCAACGAGTCTGTATAGGATTGTCACACATCGTCACTGTATGGAGTCATCAGACTGCCATGATGATATATTGAGGGCACTTTATCCAAAAGAACGGTGAAGCCCTCTCCCAAAGCCGTTATAGCTGCTTGACTTATAGGAGCGATTGCATTGTATTTCCAGATGCTCAATCGCAGCTTTACATCTCACGTGGGCATCTGGCCTGCACAACATCAAAGACCGGAGTTATTAGCCCCATACAACGAAATAAACCACAGACATTAAATGACTTCCCCAAAAGATGCCGTTACTGAACTCTCTTTCCAAAGCCGGAGTACCAGCGTTTGCATCGCTATTCAATCGTGATGGGTTCATTGAACTTCACTAATAAATGTCATCAGTGTGCGCGCGACAAGCACGTGCCGGGACTACAGTTAACTCTCTCAGAAAAAGCGGCTATTGTGTCGTCGTCTGCAGATACAATGAAGGTGCGGCCACGGTGATGGGTTTTTCTTCACGCAGTGTTAATTTTTGGGGAAGCGTCGGGTACAGGAATGTTTTCAACGACGTGTCTGGTCCCAGGTGCACGTGCTGGGACGCGGGGTCGTGTTGCCACCTGGAGCAGATGGCATAGGCGTGCGCGTGGTTGTATTACTTGCTCTAAGAATAGATTTGGCGGGAAAAGGCGCGTTTGCAGGCATGTCAAAGAAGACGCAAGACTCCATGTGCGAAGGCACTGCTGTTCCGTATTTCTTTTACAAACTAGCGTATACTACATCTGGTTGGTATCAACCCTCGATCAAAACACTTACAACCATGTTTCCTTCTGAAATAAAGCTTGAGTGTTTCATTTTTTCAAGTGGAGTCTGGTTATTCAAGAAGAATGTTCGTAAATGTCTGCAACATGCTCATAACAAATAGGCCATGACATACGGTCACTTGACTTTACTTTCCATAATAGACAATCGTACTCGCACTTAAGACCCTTACACGGGTCTTTTAAAAGGTTATTTTGAGAAGTATGGTCATCTGAACATCATTATTAAACAATAATAAAACACAAGCATGTTTTTTTAAAAGGACGTAGTTCTGACAAAAGTATTAATTATCATTACATCCTTTTTGATACACTCCCAATGTCTTGTGTTTGACAAGAGATTATCTACAAACCTTTGTGTGTTTGAATCCCAGATCATGATTCTTCCTTGTCACCAGTCTCTATATGGCTGAAATAATGCTGATGCGATGTTAAATTTTAACTCACTCACTTCCTTGCCAGCACCATCCTGGTTTGTGCCACCAAAGGATAAAGGACTAAGCAATGCATAACTTCAGGCTTTCCTCACCCATTAAGCTGACACACTAGGAATTAACTGAAACAGTGCTCAAATCGACATTGAACTCACACAATCTTCGATTGTTTGTTGTTCAATGGAGCACTCAGCAATATTCCAGCTATATGTCGGCTGTCTGTAAATAATGAAGTATGAACCAGACAATCCAGTGATTGATATCATGAGCATCAATCCACGCAAATGGGATACGATAACATGCATTAACTAAGTCAGCAAGCCTGACAACCTTACAACAAGCATGGCTGTTCACACAATCTATGTGGAGAATAGAAAACACCGCAGATGGCATTGCAGGACACTCCCCATATTAAGCATAAACCAGTTGAGCTAATAACAAACCTTGTGTTAGAAGTAACAAATGTGTTTATTCAATTAGCAATTACAAATGGAAAACAAAGAAGATATTGTGACAATAAACTTCAGTGAACATGTCTGTTTAAAAAAGATTTCCTGGTCCATGTTTCAATACTGATTCCAACCAAACAGCTGTTCATGACAACAGTTGTAACGTCACTGAAAAAGCATATCAAATAAATTACATTTACTGATAGAAATATACTGGGATGTATACATATGTAAATGAAAGACAATTTTGTATACTCCTAAAGTTAATATTGTCGTTCTAACGTATCTAGTACAGAGTGAACATATTACACACATACATTACACTGGCTGAACAAACATGTATCAAACAATATTCATAAAATAGATGATCCATGTATATATTAAGAGCAGTATTGAAAATTATTTTATTGATCAAAGACATTTATTGTAGTTATTGAAGTGACTAAAATATAAAGAAATTAACAAATGTATATACTCCATATTAAACAAGAGTTGAGCGATAATGTCAATCATGTCAAGACAGCCAACACCTCAGAGGCAACAGAAGCATACATGCGTAAGCTAAAAGAGCTGCTATGTCCACATCTAAATGTTGAAGTACCTAGTGCGCTGTGTGAAACAGAACTTGCTTTATGTTATTATGGGACATTAACTGTTCGATGGATAGAAATCGTAAATTCTGAGTTAGAATAGTGTTGTTTGAAGTACCAAGACTGTCAATCTGCCCCAGCCTTGTTGCCCTGTAATAAGTTTGAAACCCTCCAAGCCCTACCCATACATGGCAATATATCTTAATCCATACAAAGTTTCAATCAAAGTTAAAAAACACTGTTTGATGAGAAAGGTATTTAATTTTACCACTATCAGAAACGGGGGTGACATAAATATTAACGCTGATGAATACAATCACAGTTTATATACACATCAGCCCCAGTGAAGAGCAATATTTTAATATTCAAGGTGGCAGCTTTGCAAGAGAGGACACCAGGGTTTCAACAGTCCTAACACTGACCACATGAAAAGAAAGGTTTCTGTGACTGCATTTTGATAACCGTGTGTGGGCAGCCTCATAGTTGTTTGATTTTGTTTCTTTGTTTGTTGTTTAACGCCGCACTCAGCAATATTCAAGCTATATGACGGCGGTCTGTAAGTAATCGAGTCTGGACCAGACAATCCAGTGATGGACAACATGTGCATAGATCCACACAACTGGGATTAATGACATGCATCAACTAAGTCAGCAAGCCTGACCACCCGATCCAGTTAGTCGCCTCTTACGACAAGCATAGTAGCCATAGTTATTTGAACTGAATGGGTTTCCTAGAATGTCTTGAGTGAGTGAGTATTCCAGCAATATCATGATTGGGGACACCAGAAATGGGCTTCACACATTGTACCCATGTCGGGATTCGATCCTGGGTCTTCGGCGTGACGAGCGAACACTTTAACCACTAGGCTACACAACTGCCCTCGGTAGGTCATAATTAGTAATAGTTCTGAAATCAATCACCTGAATCTTGAATAGAAAGTGCAGGACTAATTTGTGCGTGTTGCACAGGACTGAAAACAAAGATTGCAAACATTCTACAGTAATTTTCTATAAAGATGTGCGCCATCACCAAAGACAAAATGGCAGGAAGGATTTGAAACCAAAGACGTATCCCTTGTTGGATATTTCTACCCGTAATGGTGAGTGTCGCACTGGTTACACCTTATGTCCTTGTCAAGTGGCCAACGAGGTTGGGTGTTTGCATGGCAAGATACATTGCCATCCGATTACGCCTCAACTAATGAGATTTGTGTGTCATCCTGTCAACAGATTGACAGGTCAGATCATTGTATGAGCTCAGCATCCCGAGAGTGAGTTATTTTCTCCTCATTGTAGGAACTGAGAGGGCTTTCCCTGGTGGGTTTTGTTTTTGCACAACTAATTTAAGCAGCCTTTCAAGCAACTGTAACATCCAGTAAAAAAATGGTTTAATTTGATTTGAAGCAACTCCTGCATCAGGAGCAAAGGATTAATGGATTGATGGGAGTAGTACTTGCATTAGCAAGAGACTAAATGGTTACTTCATGTACACTCCGGCCTACTGAAATGTCAGAGCTTAAGGCAATCAAAAAAGCAATTATCTTACCGAATTACACTGACTGTTGTTTGTCTTTGTCCACAAAACTACCAACTGTATTTTATCTTTGGCATGATTGACTCTAAGCTTAAAAGATTGTTTTAGTAACTAGGGTTTATTCAAGACAGCCAAGGACATGAAGTCTTCATAACTAAGGTTAATGGTTCCACTCATGGCTGTGTCTCGCTGCTTGAAGGCGTCGGTCAGTGACTTCAGCATCACACAAGCTTGGATGAAGTTATCAAGGGTCAGCTGCCTTCGTGCCTGAATATCAAATCTGTAGACGATCATGTTGACGAAGTTCATAGTCAAATTATACCCCATCTGACTGAATGCTGCAACAGAGATAAGTGGATCATCATTAGGACTGGTAAATGGGGTGATAGAATAGCTGCTCAACACCATCTTCAATTGCCTCTGACATGATATACAATTCTGAAACCTTTCTAAACAAACTTAACAGGAAGCCCATGAACAGAGTCACACATTCAACTGATACAACCCACATGATAAACATGCTATTGGAGTGATTGAACAGCATTTCAGCATGTGTCATTGGAAAACATGTCTACTACTTATGTACTGCACATATACTGATAGACCAATAATCATATTCAGTGAATGTTGAACTAGTGACAGACTGATCCTGGCACAACTAAGGGCAGGAACACTGCATAGTGTATTGCAGCACTTTCAACTAACGTATTCGACGCAATAAGCACCCTGCTCTAATAAGCGCCGACAGCGATATTTGCTAATATATTGGCTAGTGAACAATCCCAATTAGCACCCCTTACGATTGATCAATGTTCACAAGACTTATTTATTCGTGTGTAATACGCACTTGTGTGGTATATGCACCCTTAATTATGAGCAATTAATTTCTGGAAAATACATCTGTCGTGTATGATATGCACATACTTTTCTTTAGTATCATTTCAGGCTGTCAGCATAAAGTACGAAATTTACGATCTTTCAACTATGTTTTTCTCTCAAAAATTATATTCTAATAAGAGCCCCCTATTTCTAATTTTGAGAGCGCCCCGGGTGTTTATTACGGCGAATATGGTACTGGTCCAAGTTTTTATACATGCTGGAATGAATGGCCTGTACAAGCTGCATACACATCATGCATTTCGTCATTGGGATTCCACAGATTACATTCACAGAAAATGAATGAACAGATCGTGAGAAAATAGTGCCAAGGTACCTGGATATGCAGTCAATGTTTTGAAATGTCAACTAAGACACTTAATATAAAGTTGCTGTCGGCACTGATATTCAAACGATTTTTGCATAAATACGCAAGACTTAAAAGAAACACTAAAATTTAATGATTTAAAAAAACTATGATGTCATCTTAAGGAGAAACATACACGCAAAAGTTCAGCTCACACAGACAAATATTCTTTGTTTTTTTGTTGTCTAACACCGCACTCAGCAATATTCCAGCTATATGATGTCGGTCTGTAAATAATCGAGTCGGGACAAGAAAATACAGTGATTGACATCATAAAGGTTTGTGTCATTCTGAGAATGGTCAGTAAGAAATGTCATTGTCATAGATTTAAATAAACTACCTGTTTGTCTGCCAAAATCAAAGTGATCCAGTACACAGCTAATCCCATGCCACTTCTAATCAATGAAATTGATTTTAGAATGCATTTGTTTTTTATCTAACCATGTTATATTTTTACTAGATACATAGACACATTACTGTTCAAACTTCCTCATGCCCCTCAAAGACCTGTTTCATCACATGCAACTGTTATTTAATATTAACATCACAAATCTTATCTACAGTCAGACAACATGGCAGTCTATATTCATTCCAATATCCTGTTATAATTTGTTAGAACTAGTAAAATCCTAGATATTTTTTATATTTGTATACTTATCCTGCATTACTCCTTAATGAATATCACTGCTTGTTCTTAACAGAGAATAGAGCTGTGTGAGGGTCTTTGCTTGAAGAAGTTGCTCTGTTCCCTAGCCAATCCTTGGCTGTGTGGTCGGCATCGGGTGACCACTGCATGTGTGGGAACCTCCCATTCCCTCAGCCCGTCCTTGGCTGTGTGGTCGGCATCAGGTGACCACTCCATGTATGGGAAACTCTGTTTCCGTCAGCCCGTCTTCAGCTGTGGTCAGCCTGGATGACCATTACATTGAAGGGAAGAGTCAGGTATGCGTTGTGTCCTGGTACTGCGCAGCCTGACAATAACGCTTGGTTAGGTTGGAGCACCGAGCCGTATGCAGGGCTTACGCCAGGGGAGGTCGAAAGGCCGGCTCTGGACTCGGAGGCGTGGTCAATGACGTGTAGTAGTGGTGACCTGCTGGGCCACTACTAACGGACCAAGCCCTGCGTGCCTTGCACATCCTCCAATGCGACGTCTCGCAGGTAGTGACTGGCAAAGACCGTGTTGGAACGCCAGAAACATCCCTCCATGATGGCATGTAGAGAGCAGTTGGAAGCAGTGTGAAGCGTCAAGTTGGAGGCGACGTCCCAGATCTCATACAGGTTGTTGGAGCATGGGGGGGGGGGTCCAATCCCACGGCCTCGTAGACCTGGAGGATGATGGCTCGTAGCCAGAGGCGATCGTGTTGCGGTTGACTTCCGCTCACAAGGTCACAGATACCAATACAAAGAGGCGTCGCCATAGGAAGACCTTCTCCTTTCGTCAGATTGTAGAATGATGACGTTTCGAGTTGCTCGAAAGGCGTGTCTCTCAGCGAGTTGAGAATGACGTTCAAGTCCCAGACTGGGGGACGGAACTTCCCCGTTTGGTCTTCCAGTCTGAATGAGCGGAGCAGTGCCTGTAGTTCTGGGATTTTCGTCATGTGTCGATCTTTCGGGACTGCCAGGACGGAGTTGAGCGCCACAAGGTAGGTCATGATGGTACTGCCCTTGAGCTTACGCTTGTGTCGCAGATGGGGCATAAACTCGACCAGGAATTGAGGCGATGCAGATGTGGGGTGTTGGTGCTTACTCCTGCAAAAGCTTTCGAAGGATTGCCACTTGTCATCATAGAGGCTCCTGGTGGTTGGGCGATGTGCCATCGTGATGGCCTTAGCTGCTCTGGCCGAGTAGCCCTTGGCGTTCAATGCTCTCTGTAAATGGACCAGACGTGAAGACATAACCTGTCTGGTCCTGTCTGCTGTGAGGGTTGATCAGCAGATATGGCCAATCTGGGAGTGGCAGTGGGTTGACGTCGGATAGCTCCCTGAGGTCGACGAACCAAGCCCTCCCTGGCCACCAGGGTGCGTCCAAAGTCAGATCGAGGTTCCGTGTCGATCTGATCTTCTGGACGACTTTGGGAAGGAGTACAGGTGGCGGAAAAGCGTACGCTTTTAGTCCTTCCCAGGGGACGCTGAAAGCATTGACTGCCCAAGCCAGTGGACCGGCACCGGAGATATGTAGGTCGGGATCTGGTAGTTCTGGCTGGTGGCGAATAGGTCTATGTTGGGGAGACCGTGGTCTCAACAAACAAGAGCAAAGGTGTCTGGGTGAAATTTCCACTCTGTGGGAGCCACTTTGCCTGGCTGAGACAGGGCATCCGCTAGGATGTTTCGGCAGCCCGGGATGTGGTGGACCTGGAACCGTCAGGTGAGCTAAGAAGTATCACAATACACATCACATTGTGACTGTGATGTGGTCATTTGCTTTGACAAGTAACAGAATGGTACCAGTCCAACGTCATAACTTTTACTTAAAAGGTCTCATAACTTGAAGACCCTGTAATGCAGTGTGCTGGAGTAAAATAACAAAAGGGAGATAAGCCTGCACGCAGTGTCAACGAGATTATTGAGAATACCGGTAGCTTACATTTGCTGTAACTTAACACAATAAATGAATAGTCAAACGTCCAGAGATCCAGATAAGCTGTGTATCTGCGTAAAAAACGCATCAGAAATGCAGAAATACGCAGTAAAATAATATCCAAGCGTATCAAATACGCAACGAACATTACAGATACGCTACAAAAATAAAACTTGTGCGTATATTCAAAATATTGTGAAGTAACCCTGCGTATTCGATTGGCAAATCAGCAACTTATTTTGAAATTATAAACGGGCATTCCCTCAACCTTGCCAAACTCCACGATGACAGTTACATCATGATCAATTTGCCATCACACTTGTGGAAGTATCGTGGTATTTTTGAGTCCTATAAAGCTCTCGAACCCACACAACACCAGTTTGCAGGGACTAGATGAATAGTGTTTTTAAATATTTAACTTAAATACCCACATGTGTAAAAACTAGTGGGTAACAGAAATTTGAATACCAGATAGAATTTCTGATACGCAGTGATTTTAAAATGCATGGGTAAAATACCCACAACACCAAAAACTTATCTGGAGCTCTGAACGTCTCTTCAACAAAACGTTGAAAGTGATTATTAATAACGTTGTCCCGTTAGGCCATACATATTTCTTTGGTTGGTTTATGGATCTGCCAATCTTAAACATCGAAAATTCAGAAATATAATGAAATCAGAATGATAAGTGTTTCTGATACCGTGGACGATAAAGATCCCTTTGACAATAAAAATGTCCCTGTCAGATTTTAGATTTATGATATTAATAAGTACCCAAACCAAGCCAAGATTTTTAAATTTGTGTATCACCGATTCAAATCAAACTTTTATTTTTAGAGTAGTAGCAGTAGTCGGTAGGCATATTTACATAACTAGAAGTACAATTACAGGCTACAAATTGCAAAATGACTACAATAAGTTCCTACAATATTCAAAGGGTGCCCACCTCATGTTAGCTTAGGAAGTTACATGTGCTACATGCTTTCAGTGCCTGTCAGAAGTTTGTGTGAAGTATTATTGTGTAAACAAACTGCTTGATCATATAGAGCACCATATTTTGTTTCAAAGCTGTTGTCAGTGATTCCGTAAATCAGTTCAAACAACCCACTCAAAACACCGAACTCAACCCATGCCGCTTTACTCAATATATTGACCAACACCAAAGAATTTTGAAATTGCATTCGGTTCCAAATTCAATTTCAAATTCAGGCAACCTTGCTGTACACTGAAAACACAGTATTCATCTCCTAAGTATAAATACACTGTACACAACATTTTATGTTAACTCGGACCCCTCACCCCACAACCTAGCAATGAAATTTTTCACAATCAAAATTTGTGAATGGCCAAAAAACAGAAGAAAATGTCCGGATTTGCTTTAGAGAGAAAGGGATTCAGAGAGGAGGGGAGGAAAAGACAGGGAGAATGATGTCCTCCATTAACACTACAACGTCCAAAGTAGATATGAGATGTCACCTGAAAGTTATGACATGCCTCTGAATGGAATAGTACGGGGTCCATTGACTCACCACTGTGAAGTTCCTGGGCTTCAATAGCTCCTGAGCGATTACCATCAAATCTTTCAAAGACCGATCTCCACTGCTGGATGTAGTTCCACAAGGCACTGAATTCATTCATGTCAATGGTTCCGCTCATATCACGGTCGAACATGCCTGGAAACAGATAGATCATGTTCACAGTATAAGCATAGAGAACTGACAGAAAGGCAAAAAAATGGTAAGCACACATTTGAAAACAACATTCCTACAGAAATCACTGATAAGGTGAGTGTCAGATTGACAGGAGCCTACAGTAGTGTGTGATGAGACAATGAGACAACCTACAGTAGTGTGTGATGAGACAATGAGACAACCTACTTATCAGGAGCTACAGCAGAGTGTGATGAGACAATGAGACAACCTACTTATCAGGAGCCTACAGTAGTGTGTGATGAGACAATGAGACAACCTACTTATCAGGAGCCTACAGTAGTGTGTGATGAGACAACCCACTTATCAGGAGCCTACAGTAGTGTGTGATAAGACAATGAGACAACCCACTTATCAGGAGCCTACAGTAGTGTGTGATGAGACAATGAGACAACCTACTTATCAGGAGCTACAGTAATGTGTGATGAGACAATGAGACAACCCACTTATCAGGAGCCTACAGTAGTGTGTGATGAGACAATGAGACAACCCACTTATCAGGAGCCTACAGTAATGTGTGATGAGACAATGAGACAACCCACTTATCAGGAGCCTACAGTAGTGTGTGATGAGACAATGAGACAACCTACTTATCAGGAGCCTACAGTAGTGTGTGATGAGACAATGAGACAACCCACTTATCAGGAGCCTACAGTAGTGTGTGATGAGACAATGAGACAACCTACTTATCAGGAGCTACAGTAGTGTGTGATGAGACAATGAGACAACCCACTTATCAGGAGCTACATTAGTGTGTGATGAGACAATGAGACAACCTACAGTAGTGTGTGATGAGACAATGAGACAACCCACTTATCAGGAGCCTACAGTAGTGTGTGATGAGACAATGAGACAACCCACTTATCAGGAGCTACAGTAGTGTGTGATGAGACAATGAGACAACCTACAGTAGTGTGTGATGAGACAATGAGACAACCTACTTATCAGGAGCCTACAGTAGTGTGTGATGAGACAATGAGACAACCTACAGTAGTGTGTGATGAGACAATGAGACACCCTACTTATCAGGAGCCTACAGTAGTGTGTGATGAGACAATGAGACAACCAACTTAACAGGAGCCTACAGTAGTGTGTGATGAGACAATGAGACAACCTACTTATCAGGAGCCTACAGTAGTGTGTGATGAGACAATGAGACAACCTACTTATCAGGAGCCTACAGTAGTGTGTGATGAGACAATGAGACAACCTACTTATCAGGAGCCTACAGCAGAGTGTGATGAGACAATGAGACAACCTACTTATCAGGAGCCTACAGTAGTGTGTGATGAGACAATGAGACAACCCACTTCTCAGGAGCCTACAGTAGTGTGTGATGAGACAATGAGACAACCTACTTATCAGGAGCCTACAGTAGTGTGTGATGAGACAACCCACTTATCAGGAGCCTACAGTAGTGTGTGATGAGAAAATGAAACAACCTACTTATCAGGAGCCTACAGCAGTGTGTGATGAGACAATGAGACAACCTACTTATCAGGAGCCTACAGCAGAGTGTGATGAGACAATGAGACAACCTACTTATCAGGAGCCTACAGCAGAGTGTGATGAGACAATGAGACAACCTACTTATCAGGAGCCTACAGTAGTGTGTGATGAGACAATGAGACAACCTACTTATCAGGAGCCTACAGTAGTGTGTGATGAGACAATGAGACAACCCATTTATCAGGAGCCTACAGTAGTGTGTGATGAGACAATGAGACAACCCACTTATCAGGAGGCTACAGTAGTGTGTGATGAGACAATGAGACAACCTACAGTAGTGTGTGATGAGACAATGAGACAACACACTTATCAGGAGCCTACAGTAGTGTGTGATGAGACAATGAGACAACCCACTTATCAGGAGGCTACAGTAGTGTGTGATGAGACAATGAGACAACCTACAGTAGTATGTGATGAGACAATGAGACAACACACTTATCAGGAGCCTACAGTAGTGTGTGATGAGACAATGAGACAATGAGACAACCCACTTATCAGGAGGCTACATTAGTGTGTGATGAGACAATGAGACAACCTACAGTAGTGTGTGATGAGACAATGAGACAACACACTTATCAGGAGCCTACAGTAGTGTGTGATGAGACAATGAGATAACCCACTTATCAGGAGGCTACAGTAGTGTGTGATGAGACAATGAGACAACCCACTTATCAGGAGCTACAGTAGTGTGTGATGAGACAATGAGACAACCAACTTAACAGGAGCCTACAGCAGAGTGTGATGAGACAATGAGACAACCTACTTATCAGGAGCTTCAGCAGAGTGTGATGAGACAATGAGACAACCTACTTATCAGGAGCTACAGTAGTGTGTGATGAGACAATGAGACAACCTACTTATCAGGAGCCTACATTAGTGTGTGATGAGACAATGAGACAACCTACTTATCAGGAGCCTACAGCAGAGTGTGATGAGACAATGAGACAACCTACAGTAGTGTGTGATGAGACAATGAGACAACACACTTATCAGGAGCCTACAGTAGTGTGTGATGAGACAATGAGACAACCCACTTATCAGGAGCCTACAGCAGAGTGTGATGAGACAATGAGACAACCTACTTATCAGGAGCCTACAGCAGAGTGTGATGAGACAACCTACTTATCAGGAGCCTACAGTAGTGTGTGATGAGACAATGAGACAACCCACTTATCAGGAGCCTACAGTAGTGTGTGATGAGACAATGAGACAACCTACTTATCAGGAGCCTACAGCAGAGTGTGATGAGACAACCTACTTATCAGGAGCCTACAGTAGTGTGTGATGAGACAATGAGACAACCTACTTATCAGGAGCCTACAGTAGTGTGTGATGAGACAATGAGACAACCTACTTATCAGGAGCCTACATTAGTGTGTGATGAGACAATGAGACAACCTACTTATCAGGAGCCTACAGTAGTGTGTGATGAGACAATGAGACAACCTACTTATCAGGAGCCTACAGCAGAGTGTGATGAGACAACCTACTTATCAGGAGCCTACAGTAGTGTGTGATGAGACAATGAGACAACCCACTTATCAGGAGCCAACAGTAGTGTGTGATGAGACAATGAGACAACCCACTTATCAGGAGCCTACAGTAGTGTGTGATGAGACAATGAGACAACCTACTTATCAGGAGCCTACAGCAGAGTGTGATGAGACAACCTACTTATCAGGAGCCTACAGTAGTGTGTGATGAGACAACCTACTTATCATGAGCCGACATGTTTCTGGGTTGAACTGGCTCCAGTTGCCATTCATGAGGGCTTGCTGCAGTTCCAGTGCGGTGATCTTGCCTGACCTATCTCGGTCAACTGACAAGAACCACTGGTGCACCTGGGGGTCCATGCCGGGGGGAGCACCAAAACCTGAAACACAACAAGCATTGTGAATCACAATCAACATAAACGACATCTACAGAAAAAAATCAAATCATGAATTTACCGTTGTAAACTAGTAAAGAGATACATAATCAGTCTTTGTTGATCTCGAAGCCGAACATGAATAGCCTCCCTTGACAATTGTCCATGTTGTAAGTGGTAGCATTTTTATTGTTACAAGGGGCTTTATCGTCACAAATGGTGGTCTTTTGAGCACAGAATATTTGCATAAAGTATGCCAGAGGCATTCTGCATTAAAAAAAAATGAATCTGGCTTTGTTTTTTCCTCCTCCAACCCTGGACTTTGGGCTGAAGAATCTGTAATCCTAAAAATATAAAAAGGCTGTAAAAATTTATTATGAACTATTAATTTGTAAACTTAAAGTAACTTTCCCTGACTTTAAAACTGATTAGAATTCACAAATGTGTAAAGACTAAAGCAGAACTCACTACCACTACTGCAAAACTAGGTCATGGGGGTCATTAACTTTCCTGAGTTACTCTTGTCATGACACTAGTTACGAAAGAGTTTGAGGTCATTTGTCACAGACTCATTCAAGTTAGAAACGAGTTTAAGGTTCATATGGCCCACTATATTATGACTAGATTATAGGTGTGAGGTGACACACCAACAATTTGATACGTATCACAATACTTGCATATGCTCTTATCTGTGGTGTGTAAGCCGTTGGTAGTGTAAAGTATGGTGCAATGGATAAAAATATTTATGCTTTCACTACTAGCTTTCTACTAATAACTGTTTGGTGTAACAGTTATAACAGCAAGCATATAAGGTACATGTCGATATTTTTTACTTAGTGCGCCACCGTGATCGATACTTGTATCGAGAAGTAAAAAATCACGGTCCACCGATGCAACGGTGAATCGTCCCACAACTACTAAATTAATGTGTGATATTGGAAGAAGCAGAGTGAGTGCTATGGCCTCATTTAATTTGAAGTAAGTTTATTGCAGTAACTATTTTTTGCAAATTCGAATGAAATTGATCTGCTGATGACCCTATTCAAACTTCACCGACATTGTGTACCTATCCCATTACAACAATATTGCAAAACTAGAACAATATCTATTGTTGTATATCCAAGCAAAATAATTACAAATGTGGGCCCATTAAGTCAACCTAAAAAATCATAATGATTTACAACAGGAGCCTACAGTAGTGTGTGATGAGACAACACACACACATGCTCTTGCACTAGGCACTTGTCTGGACTAATGCAGATTTTATAGTGCTAGCCACAAAGATATCATGCCACAGTTTAACTTGAATACCCCACAAAGACACAGTATACCGACTATGAGCCCACCAGGCTTTGTTTTAGCCCCTTAATGCCAAGCACCAGGCAGGGTAACACCAACTACCATCTCTTAACATCTTTTGTTATGACACAATTATCAAACCCAGAACCTTCTGCTCTATGGGCAGATGCTCTACAACTAGACCACGGACACGGTCCTGATGGGAGAAAAGTGGGCCACCATGTTAGAAAATAATCATAAGCACTAAACTAACAATAGAGGATGAGCATTAACACTCAACATACTCCAAAAAGAAATATAATGATAAAAAAACAAGACAAAAAAAGAAAGAAAAGACACTCAACATTCTACAAATACATTCTAACTTCTAACCGAAACCTTTTTAATTTGCTTGAAATCATTGCTCCTTTGTCTTTGACCGTGCTAACTAATTGAACCGTAAAGAACCACTTGGCAATGAAGGATTTCTTTTTCTCCATATCATTTACTTCTGCACCGAAGGCTAACAAATGTAGTCTTCAGCCACTGCAACATGGGAGAAATTGTTTATCCGTTTATGAACTGCGAAACGTGTGTTTTATCCAGCTTTTATACAGAAAGTTACCCTATTCATTGGACCCCATACTTGCCATAAAAGGCGACTTTGCTTGTCGTAAAAGGCGACTAACGGGATCGGGTAGTCAGGCTTGCTGACTTGGTTGATACATGTCATCGATCCCAATTGCGTGGATCGATGCTCATGATGTCAATCACTGGATTGTCTGGTCCAGACTCTATTATTATTTTACAGACCGCCGTCATATAGCTGGAATATTGCTGAGTGCGGCATTAAACAACAAACAAACAAACAAACATTGGAATATGTGTATGTACTGTGATTTGATAGCTTTTTTTCCACGAAACGAAGATAGAAAAGAAATTACTATTATCTTGATCAGGGCTATGTTTGCTCATAAAAGGCCCATCTACATGGGCAAGTTTTGTTTAGATGATTGATAAATGTTCTCAAGTTGGTCCAAAATGAATCATAAACTTGCCCCAGGACATGCATTTCATAGCCTGAGTCGGCAAAGTGTGAGGTGCACGTGTGAAAGTCTCAGGGAACATATTTCATGTGCTTCATGCAGGGGCGACTCACACACATCTTTCATAATACCTTTAACAAAACAATGTTTTTTAAGCAGTTTATGTGCTATAAATGTTGGACATGGTTTAAGTAGGTTAGAGCACTTGGACCATGGTGTCTAATCATTGAAATGGTTAGTTAGAGTGATCGGTGCTCCATGTCTTGGATTCTTACGAACAATTTCAACAATTAGCCAAGAGGTCCTTGTGCTCTAACCTATAATAAAGTTACACTACAGATGGAAAGATGAAAATAAAATATATTCCAACATTTCAGTAAGAATATTGTTAAATTCAAGGACTATCATAGTTAGACCAATGACAACGAGCAACGTGACCAGCTCCATTTTTCTCAAATACGAAAACAATCAAGACAGCTTCAGATTGTAATTTGAGTGAACTCCCTTTTCCAGAAGAACCACTGATGATAGTTTAGCCAATTTCTTTATCATCAGGGATTGCTGTATGAAATCATAAGATAAGGGTTACAGGGAGGGTTGTGAAAAACATGGACAAGACTTTAATTATGTTAATGCTCCCCTATCATTAATACCCAATCTCTTAAAAAGTACTTCATTACAGTACAATTATCCTGTTGATTACCTGCAGGTGCACCACCCCCGTATGCGGGCTGTCCTGGGGCTCCATAGCCTCCTGGAGGCTGAGCCCCACCCCCATATCCTGGCTGCCCTGGGGCTTGGTACCCGCCAGGTCGTTGCTGTTGTGGCGGCTGCTGTTGCTGATATTGTGGGGCACCGTATCCCCCTGGGGGGCCCTGCAACAGGACATCAATTCTTACAAAAGTGAGACAGTAATGTAATTGATGAAAAACATTATTGGCGATAACTGCATGTTTCAAGTGAATTCATATCACGAAGGTAAAGTCATCAATTACCCATGTAATCCCCTGCTGATATATGTCATATTTCATTAATACCAATCAAAGATTTTTGTCCTAAAGCCTGTACGTACAAGTGACAATACAAAAACCTCTCAAACTGTTGTATGCCTGATGTGCATATCTTGAAGTTCATGATAATCACTACCCACATCTGAACCTAATCCATACAAGCCTGATAAATTTGCATGGATTTTCATGGAGAAATAATGGAAGGGTTGTGTTTGTACTTGAAACAAAACCTACCCTCATTTGAACTTGTAGCCATGGAAATGCAAACATTTATCACTTTCAAAACTTCCTCCTGAATAGCAAAAGGCACAGCTTCAGCTTTTGCCTGATGTGCATACAAAGCTTCACAAAGAAATATTTAAATATTTAAGAGTTATTCCCCAAAAATGAAATGTGACAGATGGACTGAGCCAGTTTCTCTATCCAACGAAATACTTTTATACTAAAAAACCAAATCCACTCAAGTGGAAATAGCTGTGTGCTAGAGGCACCTGTCAAAATCAATGCTAAATACTCAACATGGGTGTGATGACACCAAGCACGGATACAGCTCTTTCATACAGTAGGGCTGCATTTGTGATCAAATGTTAACATACAAATCAGGGATGCAGCTTAAACAGAAACATTCACTAGCCCAAACAGAGATAACATATAAGGACACCCGCTAAAATGCCTGAAATTCTTCCAGCCCCCACCAGGATGTCAAAACTAAATTATATAACCGTAAACATCAGAGCTCCAGATAAGCTGTGTATCTGCATAAAATACCCATCAGAAATGCAGAAATATGCAGTAAAATAAAATCCAAGCGTATCAAATACGCAACGAACATTACAGACAAGCTACAAAAATAAAACTTGTGTGTATCATCAAAATATTGTGATGTAACCCTGCGTATTCGATTAGCCAATCAGCAACTTATTTTGAAATTATAAACGGGCATTCCGTCAACCTTGCCAAACTCCACAATGACAGTTACATCACGATCATTTGCCATCACACTTTCTTGTGGAAGTATCATGGTATTTTTTAGTCCTATAAAGCTCTCAAACCCACACGACACCAGTTTGCAGTGACTAGATGAATAGTGTTTTTAAATATTTAACTTAAATACCCACATGTGTAAAAACTAGTGGGTAACAGAAATTTGAATACCCAGATAGAATTACTGATACCCAATGATTTTAAAATGCTTGGGTTAAATACCCACAACACCAAAAGCTTATCTGGAGCTCTGAACATGTAACATAAATTGAATTTGATTCACTGACTAGTGCCAAGCTGCATGCCTGCAATGCTGAATAAAGCACATGAATGGTTTGCAAGTTTTTATGTTTAGTTTACTTAAAAATATCCTTCAGTGAGTTAGTTGTGTGGGGTTACGCTACCACCTATTTAAAACTTTGGATGTATGTTCAACAGCATCCCTGCAAACACACCCACGTCCCTCCCCATATGTGTATGCTAGAATTAATACGACATAATGTATTATAGATATATAACATATGTTCAACCATAGCGAGTGAAAGAGTTTATGCCATTCAAGCGCGTGTGCTTTCACTTTCTTCAGACTAAACACGCATTTTAGTATAAACCAAAGGGAGATGACTCTTGTTTGGGAAAAGCGTACACACGATGCAAACATCTTCAAACGAAAAGGCTTCTCTCAAAAGTCCGCATAATAGACCTCGACTAATAATATGTTATTATGGCATAGCTTGTTGTTGGAAATTGACTGTCTAGATTGATAAAGGGCTCTAGTGACTTCTCATTGATAAAATATTACAGGAATGTGTTCACTTCCTAATAATCCCCGATCATCGGGTCGGTTTAACTTAGAACACAGTTAGGAGAGTCGTTTAGAGATAACACGGAACTGCCCAAACGATTGAACAACATTGAAAAACTGTTTCCAAAACAAATATACATTCATGACATCAAAATAGTGGACGACCACACTCATTTGGTTACCTGTCCGTAAGGATACGCCATCTCGGTTGTGTGAAAAGATGTACAGGGTTCTTGAAACGAATAATGAATATGTGGGGTAAATACAAATCGTATTTCACAATAACGAATTCTTGTTCATAGATAACGGGCGCGGTCACACAATATTACTGTGTATACGTGCGACTTATGTAAACATTGCTTCCGTATCCGATGTTGTGAAATTCAGATATCAACTATCAGACATTCTGACGTCACAGAACCGACATGACGTCAAATCCCTCGAGAGCAAGCTCCGGCTTAGTCAGTCAGTGATGTTGACAAATGTGATCAATGTATTTCTGTATTTCTGTGTATAATTTGCAATCGACCACAGACAACAATTTAATATCTAAGATAAGATATGTATATATATATATGTCTTTGATAACACACACACATACAGAGAGAGAGAGAGAGAGAGAGAGAGAGAGAGAGAGAGGGATGGGACTGGCGACTATAATGTATCGGGGGTCAGGCTAGGTGCCTTGGTTGATAGCATGTATCATTTAACCAAACATTGGTTTTTCTGACCCAGGCTTATAATAAATTTATACGCCACAGTGATATAACTTCAGTATTTCTGACTGCCCGCAGAGCAGCAAACACACCTAATCCAACTTGCCAGATCTCCCTCTAGCCTGTGTCTTGTCGCCCTTTTCACTTGAAGAACAATGTTCTAAAGTGTTGTTTTTTCCTGAAAGAGAGGCCCCGATATTCCATATGGCATAAGGAATGAACTGCCATGATAATATCCAATAGGGTTGTGGTATCTTTACAAATCAAAGCTTAAACATCCACAAGCCGTGAAGTCTTCATAAATCATATAGAGTCTAACATATTATGAGTGCTTCAATCAATATTTTGTGGATTTCACATTTACAATTTCACAATTACAGTGTTGAATAGTTTGGCGTGAAAGAGTAAATATTGGATACTTTCGAAGCATACTGACATGGCTTTCCTATCAAAACCTCATTTATATTCAAATGGCAACTCAAATGCATAGATAACGTCATCTAATCTGTAACTAAGATATATTGTCAGTTTGGGTAAACAACTACTTTAATCCATTTAATCCGTTTGAAGATAAAACAATGAATTGATTTCTATTACGATTTGCATTTTCACACAAAGGTTTGTTGACAGTAAATGTTTAATGTGCATAAGCTCATATTAATGTAGCCGCCATAAAATTTCCGAGTCCTGTGATGGGATTCGAACCTCGGACCTTCCGATCAGAGGTCAGACGCCTTGTCCACATGACCAAAGAGGTTAACCCTAAGCTGATAAGGTAAGGATGTCATCTGTGAGATGACTCCTAGCCCTGCTACATTAAGTTTATTGTTTCTGTGGCAGTGTCATTTCTATAATTTATCTGTATATATATGGTATTGGTTTTAGACAGTGTAATTGGTGTATTTTAGTAGATCATGTACGGTACAAGAAGTCCAGTCTGATTGCTCCAAGCTGAACTTGGGCTGGTAAGTTCTTTTGTTTATTGTGAGGGTCAAGAGTATTCTTTTGTCTTGCTTTTAGAGGGCAAGCTTCTATACTAACACAAGCACTAAGTCAGTCTACTATATACAGCTTTCTCTGGACAGTCACGACTCATATTTTGACAGTATTGTGACAAGGACTTTCACAGTTTCATCTTCACTATACATCTCCAAAGGTTAGTTTTAATACTAGATTATAAAAATTATGTAGGATGTAATATTTGTTTTAGTACAGCATGTATAATGTTAACATTATTTTAGTGTAGATATACTTGTGTGATTTGAGTGTATGAATGTACTTTATGTCATAAGTACCGTAACGATAATAAACACACCATTCATGTTTATGATTCTCTGATGTAATGTACTATAATATTTTTATATGATAAAGGCGACAGATATAAGTATTTGTGTCCGCAATAGTGTTTGCCATGAGAAATGTGTGTTGTGTATAATTATGAGCATATTACAGCATAGGTAATGTGTATATTTATGTAGGTTTATCTATGACATTCTATTTGAGATAATGTTGGTAGTAGGTTTAGATTGAATTAATATGGCAGTAGATTACTATGTATATTATTTTATGAAATTTATACATGTGTATGTTATTTATAGATGGATCTGAGTGACAAGTGATTTGGCCTACTATCACCTGAGTGCCATACATTCGGTAGGCATAGTAATTTAGTTATTCATTGTTTATATTTCATGTATGTATAATATACATCTTGTATATAAAAGTGCATTGATGCAGTTGAAGTTATATGGAAAACATCATATAATAATGTGGTGAATGCATTTTACTTATTATATCAATAACGGTGATAAGTGCAATGTTTTAATGTGTATAACCATTTATTTATTATTTGTTTAGTTATGTTACAGGGTAAATATTGGTATTGAAAATAAACGTGTGGCTTCTTGGTCACGACTCACCCCCAGCAGGCGTTGGTCTTAACTGTGAGATTTGCACCACCCTAACCTGCTACATTCCCAACCCTTAAAAAAAAAAGATAGCTTTATCACAGGGGCAGCTACAATATGCTTTATCCGTGCTGGAAATATTTGGTGTGACCAACGCAAGCTGCTGACCTGCCTTCCCACATCTTAGCATTGAAAACTACACTGAAGGGGACATGATATATTTCTTACCACATAAAATTGAATAAATTGCCATAAAACTGGTCGAATGACAGAATTGTAGTTTTTTCTTTTCAACTTCACTTTTTTCCCCAGCATGACAAGATAAGTACAGAAGTATGAGAAAATGTGTGAAATGCCTGATACAAACACTTGTTGACAAGACCCGTGAAGATCCGGAGTAGAATCGGTTCTCAGCAACCCATGTTTGCCGTAAAAGGCGACTATGCCTGTTGTAAGAGGCGACTAACGGGATCGGGTGGTCAGGCTTGCTGATTGGTTGATGCTTGTCATCGTATCCCAATTGCGTGGATTGATGCTCATGATGTCGATCACTGGATTGTCTTGTCCAGACTCTATCATTTACAGACCGCCGTCATAAAGCTGGAATATTGCTGAGTGTGGCGTTAAACAACAAACAAACAAACAAACAAACTTGTTAACAAGGCCTACCCAGCACCCTCTGCCTGGATCATGGTATGAGATAAGAGACAAGAGATAAAATATAAGACTTTATTATCTCAAAGGAAATCCATATTGCATGTCTGATTAGCACTATAATATGAAGAAAGAAAATATATGACATCAATATGTACATATGATTTGATATGATACTTGCTAATATCACTACAGGTTAAGACATGAAGATAATCTGATATCACAGTCACCGCATTGAATGGAATTTGAATGGTATTAAACAACTTATACTGGCTGGTATGAATGATTTCTGGGCATAGGGAGTTTTCAGTATCAGCATGCGCGATGACAGCCAACTGATATTCTGAATGAAGTATAGGACTGCTGTCATTTAATATCTTACAGACAGACAGACAGACAGTTTATTCAGTATGCAAGGCCATATGGCCCATAGTACAGTTCAGATTTAACAGATACATAAAAATCAACGTGATCTTGACCATAGTATAATATATTCACCTGAATCACCTGATTTTTATGTATCTGTTAAATCTGAACTGTACTATGGGCCATATGGCCTTGCATACTGAATAAACTGTCTGTCTGTCTGATATCTTACATGACTTTTTGACAATTTCCTGCTCATAAATATTGCCGAGTGGAAATTTGGTACCTGAAATTTTATTTAATTTACAAATTTATGTATTTTAGATGTATTTTGAACAGACTGGCTCCCATACCAGCAGTGGACATTAAAAGCTAGAGCGAATGTGCTTTAGGTATCAGGCAAACATGTTTAGTAGTCCATTGTTGCTCCCAAAAAGTACAAGCCAGAATGTCACTTGTGAGAGCATGGTTCTTGAACAACAAACATCAAACCTAGGACAATTATCAGTGGTTGCTGAAAAGCATGTGTGTATGTGTGCCTGTCTGTGTGTGTTGCCCCCAACTTGGCCCTGGCAACATAGTATCATGTTGGAAAAACAAAGCTTCCGACATTCCTGCTGTAATGCAGAAATTTCTGGACAGTTTCAAAGGGCATAGTGCAATGCCTGTTATTGTGTTGTTTTTATGACGGTGGTCTGTAAATAATCGTGTCTGGACAAGACAATACAGTGATTGACATCATGAGCATCAATCCACGCAATTGGGATACGATGACATGCATCACCCAAGTCAGCTAGCCTGACCACCTGATCCAGCTAGTCGCCTCTTACGACAAGCATAGTCACCTTTTATGGCATGCATGGGTTGCTGAAGACATATTCTACCCCTGATCTTCAGGGGTCCAATCAATACAAGGGTAGGCATATCATGAATTGCATTGACAGTAAATCGTGCCATTTAAGAACAAGGTATGGATTTTTCAGTGCAACACTTCAATCCATTCTCCAATTCTCTAATGTTATCAAGAACAAAATCATAATTAAAAAAACCAGTTTATAATTAAACATCCGTTTAATATATTATTAATAATAATATTAACAACAGTAATAGTCATTTGTAGCGAGTTAGTGACAACTTCTCTACAGCGCTAAGGAAAGAACTGCTCTGGCATGTTGCTCAGTGGTATGCTTGTCTGAAAAAGTGCGTCTTTAGCCGTGTCTTAATATAAGGAAGACAGTTACTGAATACATCAGGACAATTCTGGAAGATTGGTCCACAGTAATGCTTCAGCATTAGCAAAGGTTCGATCAAAACAAGATTTTGTCACAGACAACTGGCTCCTTGAACTTAAAGATTGGGGTGGAATGTGCTGTTTTATGAGCTCTCTGATATAGTTGGGAGTGAGGCCATGCTGTACCTTGAATACAAGAGACAGAATGTTGACCTTGATACTTTGTGCTGCTGACAGACAGTGAAGCTCCTTGAGCTCTTTGCCCATACGAGAGAGCATTACAGTGGTTAGGCTGAGAGACTGACAAGGCGGGTGTGGCTGCTGTTTCCTTGGTGACACGCTTACAAATATGACTGACTTGTGACGAAAGAACGCAGTTCTGCACCATCAAAAGGACAGACAAAACAATGCAAGACAAACTTTTCTTGCACAAACAGCTAAAATTTACAATCCAGCTATTTTTTCGGCTAGATTGTGTCACTTGTTCAGATGTTCCCTGTCTAGCTTGATGGTGCAGAAATGACAAACGGAGGAAGTTGGAAGAGATCACTTGTCGCCTTTGGACATGGCAGCAGCTTCCTTGGCCTGGTGGGCTTGCAATACAGCAACAGCCTCGTCAACCTGGGGACACAAAACACTGATCAGCATCTCAAACCATAGCAAAGGCATTCTCAAGACATCTTGGTTGTACAATTTCATCAGCCTATTCAATGTCAAGGGCAGATACAGAGACTACAGCTACAAAGTATTCTGGACGCTGTTTTAATTCTTTAGTGCTTCGCTGAGTATCCTATTATCAAAACAGGACATTGCCAAAATAACTTGTTACTGTATCCAGTTTCACAGAAAGTTCACTTCAATAGATTAACAAGACCACAATTCTGAAAAAAATATACCACTAAAAAAATACACCCAATTCTTTCATGACCATGGTTAATCTGTCATCGCTGGTGGGTATTGCAACACAGCCTTCCAAATGTGGGCGTTCTTTAATTTCGGATGAGTAGCATATATTCAGAGATCCCGTCTTTGATCTACCTACCTTTGCCTTGAGAGACTCGTTTGACTCCAACATGTGAAGAGGTTCGGAGTTGTCAATCTCGAGCAGCATGCCAGTGATTTTTCCGGCCAGCTCAGAGGGAACAGCCTCTCTCCTAGCATCTGCTTTTGTTCCTGTGGTGGTGCAGCAGCCAACATGGAGGCCGTCAGAGGCTCCTGCCCTGGGATGACAACAGATTGCTGGGGCTGAAACAGAGGCGATGTATGAAGTCCGATTATCAGCAGTTTATCTACCTATAATCTCAAAATGATACGGTTACTTTATGTAACACTAGGGCTGTTACGATTCACTCGCATATTCAGTGAATTGAAACGTATCCATTCATGAACTGAATTCGTTATTCGTGGTCACCAGAATCGAATATTAACGAATATGCAATCATGTGCATCTACATACCCTGTACCTACAGATATCCATAAGAACATATTATATGCAGAGATTTCTTTAAAGACAACACTCATATATATAATTTGACAGTATTGTGGTCACCGGTCATTGTCGTATTTGAGCAGATACTAGTACCTGGATAAATGCAGTATAAAAATGTGTAATATATTAATAATTATCCAACCATGTCAAATAATTTGTTGTTATTTTCCACTGAATGTAATAAATTAAAGATCAACTGCTGACTTGTTATTGTATTCGTGAAAAAATATTCGTATTAGTTATCCTATATTCATGATATGAATCGTATTCGCCTCAGTGTATTCGTTGCAGCCCTACGTAACACCCAACTAACATCTTGAAAGTCCAGGGATTTAGTTGATAATATAGTTCTGTATTTTCACCTAAACCATAAAACATAAAAACAGGTGGTTGACGAGATGTTGGGATATGAACCATAGCTTTTAGATAGCCAAGTCATAGCTATGACTTTTCAAGACTTGGGCATTTTCCAGACAATTTCTCTCCCATTCTGTTAATGTCAGCGTATCAACTAACTTTTTAATCTTCTGGTTTTTACCTAACAACGAAATATGAAATCTAAAGCACCGACTAACCTGACCTAAAGTTCAAGGCCTAAAGTTGCATTAAACCACATTTCAGAAACATCTGTAAAGGTGAAGGTCAAATATGACAAAACTAGCACAGGTCTGGTGCTGACAAATCAATGAAAAAATGCATGAAATTGAATGTGCTTTCATGTAAGTAAGCACTTAACAGAATAAAGCTGTGCCCTTGATGTATTAAAACAGTGGTTGATGGTGTGAACTCCATCCAGGCTGTTACGAGGTCAGTCAAGTCACGTGGCAAAAGTAGGACATAGTCATGGGGATGAAATAGGTTATTTTAACGTTGAAACGAACAAGTTCATGTTGCCAGAATACACAAGAAGGCCTCGCCTACGTGTATCCACGCAATTGGGATTGATGACGTGCATCAACCAAGTCAGCGAACCTGACCACCCGATCCCGTTAGTCGCCTTTTACGGAAGGCATGGGTTGAAGACCTATTTTACCCTGGATCTTCACGGGTCTATTTATACAATATGTTAGTGTTCCAACCTGCAGTCGGCTGTGTTGGTCGGACTTGTGTCTGCCATCTGGGACTGGCTCGGACCTGTGGCATTTGTGTTGGGGCGAAGAATCCACGCTGGGCTTGGGGCATGGTGGGCACGAAGTAACCTGCTCCAGTTGGCTGGAACATCTGGCTAAGCTGTGCTGTTTGCTGAAGAAGACAATCATTGCAAATATTTAAAAAAGAAAAAAATTCAGTTGAGTCAAATGCAGATCATGGAACTGACAGCATATGAACCGTTTGGATTTATGTCACTCCAATTGTCTTTCAATAATGTCATGGTTATCAACTGGAAAAGGAAAGTGGGACTTATTGTATCCATGGGGATGGTGCTAACAGTCAAAGGATTATACTTGAAGCAAATGTCAAGGGCAGATACAGAGACTACAGCCACAAAGTATTCTGGACGCTGTTTCAATTCTTTGAGTGCTTCGCTGAGTCTCCTATTATCAAAACAGGACATTGCCAAAATAACTTGTTACTGTATCCAGTTTCACAGAAAGTTCACTTCAACAGATTAACAAGACCACAATTCTGAAAAAAATATACCACTCAAAAAATACACCCAATTCTTTCATGACCATGGTTAATCTGTCATCGCTGGTGGGTATTGCAACACAGCCTTCCAAATGTGGGCGTTCTTTAATTTCGGATGAGTAGCATATATTCAGAGATCCCGTCTTTGATCTACCTACCTTTGCCTTGAGAGACTCGTTTGACTCCAACATGTGAAGAGGTTCGGAGTTGTCAATCTCGAGCAGCATGCCAGTGATTTTTCCGGCCAGCTCAGAGGGAACAGCCTCTCTCCTAGCATCTGCTTTTGTTCCTGTGGTGGTGCAGCAGCCAACATGGAGGCCGTCAGAGGCTCCTGCCCTGGGATGACAACAGACTGCTGGGGCTGAAACAGAGGCGATGTATGAAGTCCGATTATCAGCAGTTTATCTACCTATAATCTCAAAATGATACGGTTACTTTATGTAACACTAGGGCTGTTACGATTCACTCGCGTATTCAGTGAATTGAAACGTATCCATTCATGAACTGAATTCGTTATTCGTGGTCACCAGAATCGAATATTAACGAATATGCAATCATGTGCATCTACATACCCTGTACCTACAGATATCCATAAGAACATATTATATGCAGAGATTTCTTTAAAGACAACACTCATATATATAATTTGACAGTATTGTGGTCACCGGTCATTGTCGTATTTGAGCAGATACTAGTACCTGGATAAATGCAGTATAAAAATGTATAATATATTAAGAATTATCCAACCATGTCAAATAATTTGTTGTTATTTTCCACTGAATGTAATAAATTAAAGATCAACTGCTGACTTGTTATTGTATTCGTGAATAAATATTCATATTAGTTACCCTATATTCATGATATGAATTGTATTCGCCTCAGTGTATTCGTTGCAGCCCTACGTAACACCCAACTAACATCTTGAAAGTCCAGGGATTTGGTTGATAATATAGTTCTGTATTTTCACCTAAACCATAAAACATAAAAACAGGTGGTTGACGAGATGTTGGGATATGAACCATAGCTTTTAGATAGCCAAGTCATAGCTATGACTTTTCCAGACTTGGGCATTTTCCAGACAATTTCTCTCCCATTCTGTTAATGTCAGCGTATCAACTAACTTTTTAATCTTCTGGTTTTTACCTAACAACGAAATATGAAATCTAAAGCACCGACTAACCTGACCTAAAGTTCAAGGCCTAAAGTTGCATTAAACCACATTTCAGAAACATCTGTAAAGGTGAAGGTCAAACATGACAACTAGCACAGGTCTGGTGCTGACAAATCAATGAAAAAGTGCATGAAATTGAATGTGCTTTCATGTAAGTAAGCACTTAACAGAATAAAGCTGTGCCCTTGATGTATTAAAACAGTGGTTGATGGTGTGAACTCCATCCAGGCTGTTACGAGGTCAGTCAAGTCACGTGGCAAAAGTAGGACATAGTCATGGGGATGAAATAGGTTATTTTAACGTTGAAATGAACAAGTTCATGTTGCCAGAATACACAAGAAGGCCTCGCCTACGTGTATCCACGCAATTGGGATTGATGACGTGCATCAACCAAGTCAGCGAACCTGACCACCCGATCCCGTTAGTCGCCTTTTACAGAAGGCATGGGTTGAAGACCTATTTTACCCTGGATCTTCACGGGTCTATTTATACAATATGTTAGTGTTCCAACCTGCAGTCGGCTGTGTTGGTCGGACTTGTGTCTGCCATCTGGGACTGGCTCGGACCTGTGGCATTTGTGTTGGGGCGAAGAATCCACGCTGGGCTTGGGGCATGGTGGGCACGAAGTAACCTGCTCCAGTTGGCTGGAACATCTGGCTAAGCTGTGCTGTTTGCTGAAGAAGACAATCATTGCAAATATTTAAAAAAGAAAAAAATTCAGTTGTGTCAAATGCAGATCATGGAACTGACAGCATATGAACCGTTTGGTTTTATGTCACGCCAATTGTCTTTCAATAATGTCATGGTTATCAACTGGAAAAGGAAAGTGGGACTTATTGTATCCATGGGGATGGTGCTAACAGTCAAAGGATTATACTTGAAGCAAATGTCAAGGGCAGATACAGAGACTACAGCCACAAAGTATTCTGGACGCTTTTTCCAATTCTTTTAGTGCTTCGCTGAGTCTCCTATTATCAAAACAGGACATTGCCAAAATAACTTGTTACTGTATCCAGTTTCACAGAAAGTTCACTTCAACAGATTAACAAGACCACAATTCTGAAAAAAATATACCACTCAAAAAATACACCCAATTCTTTCATGACCATGGTTAATCTGTCATCGCTGGTGGGTATTGCAACACAGCCTTCCAAATGTGGGCGTTCTTTAATTTCGGATGAGTAGCATATATTCAGAGATCCCGTCTTTGATCTACCTACCTTTGCCTTGAGAGACTCGTTTGACTCCAACATGTGAAGAAGTTCGGAGTTGTCAATCTCGAGCAGCATGCCAGTGATTTTTCCAGCCAGCTCAGAGGGAACAGCCTCTCTCCTAGCATCTGCTTTTGTTCCTGTGGTGGTGCAGCAGCCAACATGGAGGCCGTCAGAGGCTCCTGCCCTGGGATGACAACAGACTGCTGGGGCTGAAACAGAGGCGATGTATGAAGTCCGATTATCAGCAGTTTATCTACCTATAATCTCAAAATGATACTGTTACTTTATGTAACACTAGGGCTGTTACGATTAACTCGCGTATTCAGTGAATTGAAACGTATCCATTCATGAACTGAATTCGTTATTCGTGGTCACCAGAATCTAATATTAACGAATATGCAATCATGTGCATCTACATACCCTGTACCTACAGATATCCATAAGAACATATTATATGCAGAGATTTCTTTAAAGACAACACTCATATATATAATTTGACAGTATTGTGGTCACCGGTCATTGTCGTATTTGAGCAGATACTAGTACCTGGATAAATGCAGTATAAAAATGTATAATATATTAAGAATTATCCAACCATGTCAAATAATTTGTTGTTATTTTCCACTGAATGTAATAAATTAAAGATCAACTGCTGACTTGTTATTGTATTCGTGAATAAATATTCGTATTAGTTATCCTATATTCATGATATGAATCGTATTCGCCTCAGTGTATTCGTTGCAGCCCTACGTAACACCCAACTAACATCTTGAAAGTCCAGGGATTTAGATGATAATATAGTTCTGTATTTTCACCTAAACCATAAAACATAAAAACAGGTGGTTGACAAGATGTTGGGATATGAACCATAGCTTTTAAATAGCCAAGTCATAGCTATGACTTTTCAAGACTTGGGCATTTTCCAGACAATTTCTCTCCCATTCTGTTAATGTCAGCGTATCAACTAACTTTTTAATCTTCTGGTTTTTACCTAACAACGAAATATGAAATCTAAAGCACCGACTAACCTGACCTAAAGTTCAAGGCCTAAAGTTGCATTAAACCACATTTCAGAAACATCTGTAAAGGTGAAGGTCAAATATGACAACTAGCACAGGTCTGGTGCTGACAAATCAATGAAAAAGCAATATTTTCTTAGAAAAATCACTTATTGAAATCAAACTTGACACTGAACCTCTCCTACTTGGTATAGAAAGTGTACTCCCAAATGGAAACAAATCCATGAAGTGGTTTTCAGTGAGTGAGTATGGTTTTACGCCGCTTTTAGCAATATTCAAACAATATCACGGCCGGGGACACCAGAAATGGGCTTCACACATTGTACCCAAATGGTTTTCAAGTTACAGGTCACAAATGTAGAAGTAAAAAATATATATCTACGTTCAAAATATGACGAAAAAATATTTTTGGAAAATATACATGTCAAAATTGAACTTTTACATCAACTTTTCTATTAGGATAGAAAGTGTTCCTTAAATTTGAAAAGAATCAAAGCAGTAGTTCTCAAGTTTCGGTCGCACTAATGTTTAAGTACACAAATTCTCATTAAATAGAGAATCTCACCAGAGTGTCTTTTGATATCAAATATATCAACACGAGTTGATAAAAGTGGAAAAATTCCGAGGCTTGCCGAGGATTTTTGCCACTTTTATCAACGAGTGTTGATATATTTGATATCAAAAGACACGAGGGTGAGATTTTATTTATCATCCAACATCATTCTTTCAACTTTTTCAATTTGTAGACAGTAATTAGCAGTGTCTTCAGTGTAAAAAGTACTGAAAACGGCTTCAGTAGCAGAGCCATTAGTGATGTCATTTGATTGTGACGTCATGGTAACCAGTGACGTCACAATTGTCTGCAAAGCATTGTGATGTAATTTCATTGCAGCGATATCTACAGTGTAGATATCGCTTGATCTCATCCAAGCGATATCTCCTGTGGGAGCCAGTTTTGGATGATAAGTTATAAGTAAAACCAAACAATTATAAAAAAATCCAAAATAAACTAATATCGCTCGTGACCTGGAAAAAGAGTTGAAAACAACCAACATGAAAAATACTCTTTTTCCGTTAAAAGGGGAAAATTCAACAATCAAAGCATCATGGAAAAAGATTAACCAATTTGTCATACTGGATATTCATCAAGGAAGCATTAACTACTCATGTACAGACAAGTGTTCACAGAAACCGCTCATGGTCGACCCTTGATGGTATCAAAGTTCATTGTGTCCAAAGCCCTTTCAGCTGTAAAAAAGTACAATATATATACAAATTACAATGAAAAGAGATTAGCAATCAAAATTGCAATCTAATTTTGTATTCACATGCAACTGGTTGGAGAAGAGGGAAGTTGATGAATAACAGAAATAAGAAGGACGAGCCTTTGACGAGATTTGAAACTCTCTCAGTGTTGGCTTAATTCAACTCTGATTCATAATGGGAACACTTAAATTACCTTAGACCGCTATTTCAGGTCACAATAACATACAAAAACAGGTAGGTATATCGATATATAAAAGGCAACATAAGAGCCACAATACCAAGTGCATGAAATTGAATGTGCTTTCATGTAAGTAAGCACTTAACAGAATAAAGCTGTGCCCTTGATGTATTAAAACAGTGGTTGATGGTGTGAACTCCATCCAGGCTGTTACGAGGTCAGTCAAGTCACGTGGCAAAAGTAGGACATAGTCATGGGGATGAAATAGGTTATTTTAACGCTGAAACAAACAAGTTCATGTTGCCAGAATACACAAGAAGGCCTCGCCTACGTGTATCCACGCGATTGGGATTGATGACGTGCATCAACCAAGTCAGCGAACCTGACCACCCGATCCCGTTAGTCGCCTTTTACGGAAGGCATGGGTTGAAGACCTATTTTACCCTGGATCTTCACGGGTCTATTTATACAATATGTTAGTGTTCCAACCTGCAGTCGGCTGTGTTGGTCGGACTTGTGTCTGCCATCTGGGACTGGCTCGGACCTGTGGCATTTGTGTTGGGGCGAAGAATCCACGCTGGGCTTGGGGCATGGTGGGCACGAAGTAACCTGCTCCAGTTGGCTGGAACATCTGGCTAAGCTGTGCTGTTTGCTGAAGAAGACAATCATTGCAAATATTTAAAAAAGAAAAAAATTCAGTTGTGTCAAATGCAGATCATGGAACTGACAGCATATGAACCGTTTGGTTTTATGTCACTCCAATTGTCTTTCAGTAATGTCATGGTTATCAACTGGAAAAGGAAAGTGGGACTTATTGTATCCATGGGGATGGTGCTAACAGTCAAAGGATTATACTTGAAGCAAATGTCAAGGGCAGATACAGAGACTACAGCCACAAAGTATTCTGGACGCTTTTTCCAATTCTTTTAGTGCTTCGCTGAGTCTCCTATTATCAAAACAGGACATTGCCAAAATAACTTGTTACTGTATCCAGTTTCACAGAAAGTTCACTTCAACAGATTAACAAGACCACAATTCTGAAAAAAATATACCACTCAAAAAATACACCCAATTCTTTCATGACCATGGTTAATCTGTCATCGCTGGTGGGTATTGCAACACAGCCTTCCAAATGTGGGCGTTCTTTAATTTCGGATGAGTAGCATATATTCAGAGATCCCGTCTTTGATCTACCTACCTTTGCCTTGAGAGACTCGTTTGACTCCAACATGTGAAGAAGTTCGGAGTTGTCAATCTCGAGCAGCATGCCAGTGATTTTTCCAGCCAGCTCAGAGGGAACAGCCTCTCTCCTAGCATCTGCTTTTGTTCCTGTGGTGGTGCAGCAGCCAACATGGAGGCCGTCAGAGGCTCCTGCCCTGGGATGACAACAGACTGCTGGGGCTGAAACAGAGGCGATGTATGAAGTCCGATTATCAGCAGTTTATCTACCTATAATCTCAAAATGATACTGTTACTTTATGTAACACTAGGGCTGTTACGATTAACTCGCGTATTCAGTGAATTGAAACGTATCCATTCATGAACTGAATTCGTTATTCGTGGTCACCAGAATCTAATATTAACGAATATGCAATCATGTGCATCTACATACCCTGTACCTACAGATATCCATAAGAACATATTATATGCAGAGATTTCTTTAAAGACAACACTCATATATATAATTTGACAGTATTGTGGTCACCGGTCATTGTCGTATTTGAGCAGATACTAGTACCTGGATAAATGCAGTATAAAAATGTATAATATATTAAGAATTATCCAACCATGTCAAATAATTTGTTGTTATTTTCCACTGAATGTAATAAATTAAAGATCAACTGCTGACTTGTTATTGTATTCGTGAATAAATATTCGTATTAGTTATCCTATATTCATGATATGAATCGTATTCGCCTCAGTGTATTCGTTGCAGCCCTACGTAACACCCAACTAACATCTTGAAAGTCCAGGGATTTAGATGATAATATAGTTCTGTATTTTCACCTAA